GTTATCACACAACATAACAAGATTAGAATAACATCCCATAGAATCTCTATTAGTCTTTAACTGGGGAATAATTCTGCTTTGTAGTCTAGTGGTGGCGAAAGCGTAAGAGAGGGACCATCGCGCGTTCAAGCTTATAGGGTCAAATAGATTTGCATCCAAAATTTCTTACTATAACTGGCAATTTAATCGCAGTTGGTTCTTTACAAACGAAAATGGGAATTAACTGCGAATAATGGTCGTTACTCCAAGTTTTGGTTATACTACCAACCCAAAAAATTACAAAGTCCCCTTTGTAACCTGTACAAACGCATTCAGACAGGACAAGCACTGTAGTTTATTTACTTGAAGCACTTCTTTTACTCTTTGTTTGCATCTTTACGCCAATTTTGATGGCTGTTCGTTACCTGTTCGCTTAGAAAAACGAATATACACGGTTTATACGAATGTAATTCGTTTGCATCTCTCGCGCAAACCGCATTGAAACGAACATCGAACTTGTACTGCACCAGGGTTTTGAAGAGTCATAATGAGCGCATGAAATAAGTAATTATTATTGATTAATGCAAGAATACTTAGGCCGCATGCGTAAATGTCCCGCCTATAAGGAGAGGGGAATTCACATTATTGTTGAGGGAGCGGTTTTAACTGCGAATAAACTCCAGTCTTTAACTCGGACCTCAAACAATTGCCCCTTCGCTTGTTCTCACAAAAAGTAATTCCAGCTTGCCTCCGGAGACTTGTCTGAGGTCTGATCCAGCGAGTGTAATCCCATTTCAGTTGCTCCAGGGGTCTCTTCTCTGGCTGTCAAAGCTCCATCAAGTGAGTTTTATCCAACAATTATTTCTTTGGTAATCTAGAGTAGAAACTGAATAATTTAAATTCAATCAAGTTTTGGTCAAAGAGCATGGTTCGGGCTAGCGCCTTTCATAGTTTGCCCTCACTGCACTTGAGGGATTATTTTCCTTTCAGAATCTCGATTTCCAGTGATGGTCCCCGAGTATCCGGTCGCATGCAGCCATCAATGTAGTATTAAAATTGTAACAACTGCTTGCTTTCCAGCAATAGTGACACTGCAAAGAGCGACATTTATTTCGTTAGATTCTGCCAGCCTCTGAGACATGATGCTACCTTGACACCGTCTAGTATTGTCAACGTTGTCAAAAACTCGATGTTTTGATTGATAATCTGTGGCAAATGTGCTCTGGATTCTAACCTTCTATAATGCCTTAGATGCAATTGGAAAGATTGCTGCTTTTCTATATGTAGTTAACATTACGAAAAACCTTGCTAACAGAAGGAGGCATGACGAATCTTTTAAGAAAACGTAAAACATTTGTAATGACCCAAATTTGCCAAGAGATACACTCCTTTTGTAACGTTCTAGCAGTGGAAGATTTTGACTGAATAAAATCTGTTTTTCGTAACTCGGGAATCCCATGTCTGCCGACGCAAGATGGCACCCAGTGCGTTTTGGAAAATGAAGAGCGACCAGCGGCATGCATTGTAAAAGCGACTACGTTTAATAAGGGTCAAAAGCAAAAATAGGAGGCATTCTGAGACACCTCAACTTAAGGAATAATTTGCTCGAATGATAATAAGTTTGATTCCCTTATTTTGGAATAATAAGCTGGAAAAAACGTCTCTGCGTTGTTCTCAAAAAGCACCACAATTTTATTTGATTTCGGCCAACTATAGAGCATATAGGCAATATACACAGGATTGGTCGCATACCTAACTACTATAGTGAGATAAAAGATAAGTTACAATATTTCCAATGTAGTAAATAGCCGACTGGATAATTATTGATTTAGTTCTTCTCAGGCCTCGGCACGAGGTCTCGGATTAGAACTTACGAGGACGAATCCCCGCTTGAAAATCCAGAAAATCGCGAAACCCCGTTTGTAACCTGTACAGACACGTGCAATTAGGACAAGCATTGCAGTCGGTATACTTGGAGCGCGTTTTCTTCACTAGGGTAATACGATTTAGGACCCTAACAAGGAAGGGAGAAAGAGTTTTGATCTAGTTGTTGCGCTGTGAGTTAGGTCAAGGGATGCACAAAAAGTGTTTGCTATGAGGAATGTAAAATTATGAGAAACAAAAAAAGTGTTTGCTAATCGGAGACCTGAGGTCTCCCGTAGGTCTCCGCCGGAGCCTAAATCACAAAAAGGTACGGCTATTCTCCCATTCTCATAATATTTCAAAGATTTTTCAAACACTTCTTCTACTCCTTGTTGCGCACCTTTACGCCAATTTTGGTGGGTGTTCATTGCCTATTCGCTTAGAAAAACCCGTTTATTTTAAAATTGTAAAACACGTTTAAACTCCCCGCATAAACGCCCGCATTGGAACGAACATTGAAACTTTGCTGGAGCCGGCTTTTGAACGGTCTTTAAGTGTGTATGGAGTTACTATCAGCTGAGTATTGAATAAGAAGGAGAGGGGAGGAG